ATATTCGCGACAAATGTTTACAAGTTATTATGTAAATAGTTCGAAGGCAAAACAAGTAATAGCTTCCTCGCGCCTTTCCGCTATATTTATTCTCGTCTCCGAAACTTCGAGGGTGCAGCTAATTCCGTTCTCCGACATCACTACAATTTCCTTTCATAAGTATAAAAGAAAAAAAAAGAAAAAATAAAAAAAATATATATATATAAATATATAAATACATGTCTATCTATACAAGCTTGTGTATCTGTAGTCGCTTGGATCCAGTGGATGTTTGGACACTAGGACGTGCCCCACTGGTGGACACCGAATGAGTCCACATGAAACACAATGTCCACAACTGCGACAACACCACAGAACGTCTCAATAACGAGAAAGTAGAGAGAACAGCGAGCTCCTTCTCCAACAGTAACTCACGGTCAAATGGTACTAAAATTACCGAATCATTTTATCGCTGATACTAGGTCGTTTCCGCTCCTACTCGCTACCTGTCCGAGCCTTTATTACCTGTGACTATTCATCTATTGCAAGCATCCAAACAATTTTCGGGGGATCATTCGCATCTGCGAAATCAGTCCCTCCTTTAATCCGATTACTAAGGATTATCCCAAAGACAGTCACGACCGACGAGCGATTATTAAATTCCTGGAATTGAGCGTCGATAGCCCGCCAGGAATACGAAAACATTTCACTGCCTGCCCACTAATCACCGACCATCACCCCTTACCGTGAGGATCTAACAATTCGTGACTAGGTAAACCCCGACCATCCCGAACCAAACTTGAAAACAACACCCCCTCTCCCAACCCGCGTCACATAACATGCGACGGTCGACATTTTTCTACCTACGTATCAGGAATCTGCATAACCGCGGGGAACTAAGGAACGCGCCATATTGGTTACTTTCGGAATGCATGAGATAAGACTTTTTCACACAATCTGCCGCATGCGGAACGCCCTTCCCCACGAATGACCCGAATCTGGCCAAATTTCACCAGCCACGAGCTAAAGTAACCACAGAAAACTCATGTACCCGCCTATAGGGGTTAGTTTCGTCCTACAGGCGGACAGGACTTATGGAACTTATGCGGTTTATGGAATTCACTCAGTGTGACTTGTTTCTTTATCGAGTATCCTGAATTACAAACTATTTGCAAAAAAAGAAAATAAAAAAAAAAGGATATCACGTTTATGAATTGTAGCCAATGAATCGGTATTATCAGCTCCTGGTTGAAGAGAAAGTAAAAGTAAAATTCCTTTTGTTGTTTGAAATCGTACAACTATACAACATAAATTCCTTTGTTCGTGTCCGTGATATTCTTTTTGTAAATATTCAGTTAGAAACAAGCCCTCCTACAAGTTGGGCGACGACATATTTCACGACTAGAAATTAGTGAATTTCCCAAGTTAATCATGAATATTGTGAATATTTATTACCGCAGAAATTAGGCTCGACCCTCGGGAATATACCGTAGCAGTTTCAACAGGATTCGAGCAAAATTAATAAGTTATTAGCGATTTCCGGAGATGCACTGAAACCCGTGTGGACGTGTGGCGCCATCTATCGGGAGAACGCTGAAACTTCTGGTCAATTAGTACCATTTCTCGGTCGCTAGATGGCACCACCAATCGACATTCCTACCGACACAGCGAACCCACCAGGTAATCGATAATAACTTATTAATTGTTACTTGAATGTGATTCAAAATTTTACTGAATATTCTCTAAAGTATAGCATAATTTCTACGAACTATAGTTATTCACAATTTGTCGCTATTAAGTGAAGAAATTGATTGTTAACCATTCATCTTTCAAGAAATTCGACGTTACCTCCTGACATTGTCTGAGTTTATAATTAAGAAATAATTAACGCAACACAAAATCTCTTCCGCTGTGAAACAGGAAGTTAGGGGAAGGTTCATTCTACAATCTTAAATTGCAAAGGTTAAGAATTTGTTCATGATAGTATAGATGATAATGAATTAGCTGCTGATTACGTTGATTTCTTCTCCATTGACATGTTGCATTTAGTTCGTAGCTGTTGCCGTTAGATGGCACAGTTTCGGATACCTCCTTAGCTCTGATGCTTCGCGCGTACGTACCAGGAATCGATGAGATGCTTTTTCATGGAGGTGTCTCGTGAAAGGTATTGTCTTTCCTTGTCGCACACTGTCTCCTTCCTTGTCTTACACATTGCGGGTATAGGGAAGAGCTTCGGAAACGCCCGTCCGCTAGATGGCGCTAGTGTCGCCCGCCAAAATGTTCCCCCTGCCGAGCTGCGACCGTCTTTGCACATTCATTAATATATCCTTATAATTGTATTCACTTTTCTATAGCTTTCGGTGGGCCGATTTCGGCGTACGACTGCTTACATTAGAGCTTATGGAACAAAGATAATGATAGCTCTATTGAGAATTGCAGATAGACACGAGAACAGACTGAAAATCACGGTCAAGTGAATAATCATACTTGTCTTACTCGTTACGTTCTTACGGACGCAGAGAACCCATCCGAGAATCGCCAATAACTTATTAATTACTTTTCGAATGTGATTCAAACTACTACCGAGTGTTCCTAAGGGCTTACCCTAATTTCTTCAATCGCAAATGTTCACTATTTATGCCTAATAAGCGAGAAACTTAATTGTTTACTGGGCACATGTTATAAGATTCAAATTTATCCTGCGACATGGTCCCGAAGAATAGTTAATAAATAATTAACGGGGCACGAAATCCTATCCAAAGCAACATGAGAAAGTAGGGGAAGGTCCGTTTTAAGATTGTAAATTACAAATACTCTTTAATGATTCGTGGTAGTCGAGTTATCAGGACTAAGGCGGTATTATAGGGTTCGCGCCATCTAGAGGTGGCAGCTGCGAACTAAATGCGACGCGATGATGTAGGAAAACAAGAAAATTGACAGCGAATTTATTAATAACTCGAGTATCACATATGATTCGTTAACATTTGCAATTTAGAATCATAGAATGAACTTTCCCCTACCTTCTTGTGTGGCTTTTCATAGGACTTTCGTCCACATTAACTATTTATTAATTATTCTTCGGGACGATATCACAAGACAATCTAGAAATATTTAACAGGCACCCAATAGATGATTAAGTTTCTCGCTTAATAGGCATAATTTGTGAACATTTGAGATCGAAGCAATTAGGGCAGACTCTCAGGAATAGGAATAGTAATTAATAAGTTATTATTTAGGTACCATTCTGTTACAGCCAATTAGCCTAACGTCATCCTTTACATAAAACATTCTACTCGGGAGAATTTTAGTTGCCCAGGTCTCACCACGTGGAGGTTGCTGCGAGGGACCCTGGGAGGTCGATGGACATTCAATTCCATCGACCTCCCTTTCTACACCGAAATCTTATGTTTAACGCACTTATTCTAAACTCACTTATTCCTATCGCAGTTAATATTATACTAATCCATCGGCGGCTGTCTTCTTTCTTGAGTCTATTCTGAAATAGAATACGCATTTGTAAAATGGTTACAAGGGAATTGTAAATGAGCAGCAGTAACATTAAATAAAAATTCCATGCACAATAAGTTCATAGTGTGTCAATGTTAAAATAAAATTAGATTAATATTGCATTAAACATAGATTAGAATTAGAGCTGAAATAAGTGGATATGAATTGTGAAATGATGCCATCTGCAACGGAAACAATTAAAGTTATGTAAAGCAGAAGTACAATTAAATTACACTGAAAATAAAGTTATACAGAAACGATTAAAGTAAATGGAGATAAAAAGGGAAAGAACTTTCGACCGAACGTATTCTTTGAACAGCAGAGTTGCATGTTAAATGGTTGCTTCTACCTTCTACCTCCAGAGAATGCCATCTTCTAATCCTCTCAGTCCTCTCTGCAACAGAAACTGTCTTATTCGATTAGTAGATGAATATAATTTAAGAATTGGAATCTAAGAAGAGGGATACAATTTTTCCTTACCATTATATTTATAACATTCCCTGAAACAGAAACACTATGAGTTAAATAAGTTGCATGAAAATAAAAATTAAAATGTATACCACTTTTCCTATCCCACTTAAATTCCTCTGAAACAGAAACTCACTTGATTAGACAGGAAATTTTATTCAACTACATGAAGCTGAATAGAAGAAGGAATGTTTAAAAAATGGGACTGTCCACTCTGTATACTATATGTGCTATAAAAATCGCAAGAGTGGACCATTTCTTTCGCAACACTAATTTACGGAATTTACAAATCTTTGAATAATAAACGCGAGAGGTGATAGAGATAGAGATACGTCTGAAATATGATTCAAGGCATTTCCAGAATGTTGCCAAGGGCACATTCTAATTTCTTCAGTCGCAAATATTCACCAATTATGCATATTAAATGAGAAACTTGTTGATTTATTGCGCACCAGTGAAAAAATTCTAGGTTGCTTGGAACATCGTCCCGAAGAATAATTCATTAATAATTAACGCGGTGCAAAATTCCACGAATGGTGACGTGAGAAAGTAGGGGAATGAACATTCTACAATCTTAAATTGCAAAGGTTAACAATTTATTCGTAATTGTTTAGTTGATAATGTATTCGCTGCTGATTTCAGTGTTTTTTTCTCCATCGACATGTCGCATTTAGTTGTTAGCTGTCGCCGCTGGATGGCGCGCTTTCGGATACCTCCTTAGTCCTGATGGTTCGCGCGTACGTACCAGGGACCGATGAAATGCTTTTTCAAAGGAAGTTGAATCGGGAACGCTGTCTCTGTCCTTGTCTTACACATTACAGTGTAATCATCTGCCAACTGCTCTTTACAGATATAATGATTATGCTACGGGTCTGTGCAAATAAATACAAATAAATAAAGAACGTGTTATTTTTCATTTTTTTCTTTCAATATTACATTCAGTTGCTTTACAGATTTTTTTAAATATCTTTGAATCAAATCGTATAATAATATTGTGAATTTGATGTTCTTGAAAAAATTTAGAACTAAGCGTTGGTTCCCAGCAATTGAAGGACATTATTTTTGAAACGTTTCACGATTACTTTGAAATCACGTGACTAATAATTATGGTACATTTGTATCGTAACGATTGCATTTGCGTTATATGTATGTGCGTTACTATTCTATTTGCTGCTTATATATTTATTAGTATTATTAGATTGTGGACTTTTAGGCGAATGAAAATGTTTTCAGTTAATTATAATTAAAGACATGGAATTACAATAAAATGCGTCGTATTCTACGTACGCACGTGTTCTTCTTTATCGATGTTTAGACGCACAGGGATAACTTGTAGGAGGTGTACGTGTACGATATGTATATTTGATACAACAACGGTAAAACTTGTACAATGTGATAACAAAGAAATTATTGTAGATTATTCGCAGGCGCTGTTTCCGCTTTTCCTTGGATGCGTTTGGAAATGGCAAGTATCGTCGCATGCTTTCTACGTATGTACATATGTGTATAGGTATAGAAATTTCAGCCTACTTCGCACTTCAGTTCGGAAGCTTCGCTTCTTTGATCAAGTCCGTTGACAATGTTTATGTTTGGAAATAGCGAGTAATGGGAAAGTGACTTTATACGCAATGTTTATACGAATTACAAGCCTCTGATAAAAATACTTGAATCTCGGAAATATATTTTGCGTAAGGTAACTTGAAACAATTCTAACGAATCTGCTATAGTTTTGTCAAGTAAATTTGCATTTTAGGTTACCGTTTGATCAATATAAATAAGGAAAAATATGGATGTGATAAAAAAAGATCTACATATACCAGTGAAATATATGAAACTATCGGATGGAAGAATTTCTTTGACTGTACATAAAAACTGGGTAACCAATTTACATACCATAGGTCCAATTTCATTTATCAATCATGACAAGTTAACGGAAGATGAAATCGCAGCACAACCCATTCTGGAAGAATTGGGTCCAAATTGGACCAGAGTATATGCCAAAGTATGTTAATTTTTTAATATATCTGTACTGTCTGGAGGTATTGTACCGATAAGAAACAAATATTTGTAGGTTTACGAGAAAGAGCATAAATACGCGATACCGCTCCTGAGGGGAAGACATTTGACGGATAGGAATACGCAGTCCGACTTGACATTTTCCCAATTATTACATTACGTTATGGAAACGAATTACCGTAACTCGTGGAAAGAATGTTACAAAAAGTATTATAGTGAGTATCTTTGGACAATTACTCGATTACTAATATGTAATAATAATAACGAGACGTACGTGTGAATAGATCCATGGAACTGTGTGGAACACAAGGATCAGTATAATATAACTGTTAACGTAAGCGATACCTCCATCATGCAAGAAGTATTGCAAAGAATGTACGGTTGTAGTTTGGTGCAAATTCAAAATGGCTTGGTTTTATCCGTTTTACCCGGTGTAACGACCGTGGCGCACTGTAATCTTCTTCCAACGTTGTTCGCTATTGAAACGGCATCCGCTTTTATAACGTTGCACGAACAAATCGCGGAATATTCTCTTCGTGAGTAAGTGACCCTACGTACTCTGATACTTTGTTAACTATATATATTTGTCTATTACACGTTTTTCATGGTATCGAAGGTGTGTCATGTATAGTCCTGCCGCTTTAAATATGAGTCACGGAAAATCGTTATTTTTAGTCTATCAACTGTTGCAATTGTATAAAGATTTACACGACCGTGGACTAGTTTTAGGTGAAGTTACCCTTAGCGATATATTAATTATGGATAATTTTACTATTCAGGTTAATATTTAAATACTTTTATCTAACTATTCGTTCTTCGATCAAGTTTCTTGATTGACATTGTAACAGTTTTCACGGATTTTCATCACAGGTATTGCCAAAATTAAATGATAATATACATATAAAACCTGAAAATCCAGTTCACAAAGTTTCTACTAATCACGAGATCAAATGGAAAAATTTCAGTGTGTACAAAAAAAATGCCGATATAATTTCATCGAGCGCTATGTTGCAAGGAAATTCTGCGTTTGGAACCGATGAGAGTATCGAGAGATTATGCGAAATGTGGGTGTACAATTGTATTAGCAACTACGATTACTTAACTGCCTTGAACAATATGGCTGGTAGGAGATACGGAGATCCCAGTTGCCATCACGTGATGCCTTGGGTCACGGATTTTACATCGAGATGCGGTGGCAACTGGCGAGATTTAACCAAATCGAAATTTCGATTAAACAAGGGTGACAGACAATTGGATTTAACGTTTGACTCGCAGTCTACTGAAGTATGACGCTCGTTTGCCAATGAATCGTTTGCTACGTGAACTTCTATTATGTACCTTAGATTATGAACATCGTATTCGTATTTGTAGGTAGGTCACCACGTTTCGGACGTATTGTCGGAAATTACATATTACGTTTATCTCTCGCGACGTTACGACAAGTCCGTTCTATGCAAACACGTACGATCGCAATGGGTTCCAGGAGAATATCCCGCATCTATACAGAGATTGCACGACTGGAGTCCGGACGAGTGCATACCGCAATTCTTTTCCGATCCCAACGTTTTCAAGGTGATTCGAAACGTATGAAAACGGATTCGTAAGAAAACGTACAACTCTGTCTGTTCCGCTGATCTTTCGTTTACAGTCTATTCACGAAGATTTACCAGATCTAGAAATTCCCGCGTGGGCAACATCGCCGGAAGATTTTATAGAGAAACACAGAGAAGCTTTGGAAAGTTTCTACGTGTCCGAGAGATTACATCATTGGATAGATTTAACTTTCGGTTACAAGTATGTAGAGAATTCTTTCTCGCGAGAGTATACTGCTCGGGAAATTCCTTTACACGGTTATCAATTGTTTCTATTCGACAGGTTATCTGGCTCAGCTGCGGTCAAATCGAAAAACGTTTGCTTGCATCTCGTTGATAATCATACGAGTTTAACCAACTCTGGGGTTGTTCAACTTTTTACGCAACCGCACCCCCAAAAGATTATTCCTTCGCCTTATTGGTCTAAAATTCCACCCCGATTACGTTCGTCTTTTGTGCTGAATAAGCATAGTACGTTTATAAACTTGTTTGTAATCGAAATATCTTGCGTTTCGTTTCGTTTTCGTTTTTATTTTCGTTAATAACGATACAATGTTCATCAGAGAACGATCAATGCGGGAATAGAGGTAGCGACGACGAAGGTCACAGCTCCGGTTTCGAGGAGGAAGAAATACCCGGCTCAATGTTAAATCCGTCTAAATCGTCGCCTTTGGTTTTAAGTCGATTGCTCAGTCGATCTCGAGGCTCTTTGCTGTCTGCCGAAGATATTATCAAACAAGAGAAATCCGCCAATCAAACGATAAATCTTCCAAAAGACTATAATCCGGTTGCAGCCATTACTCAAGTGGAAACTATGCACGCGTTTATGAATAAAGTGAGCTCTCAAGTTTACAAGCCGGAAATCGAGTTGCACGAGTCGTGCGTTAATTACAAACAAATTGTGGCTGGTGGGCGTATTAAAGAACAACAAATACTAGGTTGCTTAATCGTGGAAATATTCTTGTCCAATAAATTTCGAGCTACATGGAATCTGGAGAAGGTGTCATTTTCGAAAAGACTTGCAGCGTGTTTAAATATTTTAAGAATGTCGGCCGACAGTTTACCGAAATGTGTGAGAAACGCGGTTGCTTTACTGTTGCAAGCTGACATTATGCCGAAAAGTTACAATATCGATAATGTGGATGTAAGTATGATTAACATACGGCCGTTTAATCTGTCTAATTTCTCCGTACACTCTGCGAAATTTCGAACAATTACACTTGGTTAAGTGTGCAATTTTTGTAGGCAATGGACACACCTTTCCGTTATCCGACCATTACTAACATGGGTCTACCGCCACCGTCTGCCCACCAATTTCTTCAACCGATACTTTTTGGAAGTTTATTGCCATTTTCCAAATATTATAAATATCTATTTAATATCGTAGAGATGTTACAAGAGTACAATAGTTTGGTACGCGAGTTAAATTTTATAATAAAGTCGGAAGACGATTTAGATTTTACGGTTAAAACGAGAATGAGATTTTTATGTAAAATCAGCGAGTGCAAAGTTAAAGCAATTGCCAGGGAATTGGAACATCTTTTGTCCCACATTGGAATTGCCAGAGAAGCCTTGGAATTGATAATGCCTCATATACAGCAAGTAATGGAAGAATCTTACAGTGCTGTTCTAGCTGCTTGGTATTTGTTCGATCCTATCGCCAAGTGAGTATACATTGTTGTACTCGACATATATTTCGTAATTGTACTTGCTTCTCTCTTTCTTTCTTTGTCTCGTTTCCCTGTAGAGCATTGGGCCCCAAAGATACTGCAGAGACGTTCCTCTCGCCTATAATGAAGCTATACGAATACGGGTCCTTCATGGATAACTCGTTATACGCTGACATACTACCTTCTGGATTGGTTGCAAAATTTAAAACTACGCGTCTATATCATAGAAACTTTTTGCTAAAACTTACCGTAAGAATGGGTTTACGTCGCTATTTGGAAAATTTTATTACGCCCCTGGTGGAGGCAGTTGGAGGATACAGAGACTATGTACAGGGATCTTCGACTTGTACTCACAAAACCGGCAATCTTAAGTAAGAGAGATTCTTTAATAGAAATTCCCGAATAATCGTGAAATCATTTTGTACAGGAGTTGCGACTTGAATGAAATTTCTACCGACGGAGAAGGAATTTTATCACCTTTGGACGAAGATTCTTCCGCCGGTTCGGAACATATTTCCCTGTCGCCTGGTCCTGTGACAACCGATTACACGCAGAACACGAATCTGACCGATAACGATGTCGAAGGTTGTTGACAGCAAACGTGGCTATTTGTACCGAAAGTAATATACGAGTAGTTCGTCATGCTAAATACTTGTCAATTTCACATTCAGAGATGTTTGCCATGGACACGGAAGACAATTCTTCTAGGCTTCCTATGAATTCTGGTGCAGCGTACGATATTGACTTGCATATAGATTTGAACTTGAACCTTGGCGATGATTTAAACGAAGAGGGAAACAAAATTTCACCGCTCAGATCGATTAAATCGCCAACGATTCCTATACCGAAATCATCCAATTCGCGAAATAAATTGGCAATGGAATTTAGCAATGCTGGATGCAACGTGGGAAGTAAAACGTCCAACGAAGAATATTTATACAACGATTCTTACGATGGATTTATGGATTCCGTGAGCAACGTGGAGGAAATGTATAACGTGGAAGAACACCATTCCACGATGTTACAAACGGATGACGCTAAATCTGATACTTGCGTACATAAAGATGTTCAAATAGATCAGATTTATCAAAAGTCTGTATCGAACGAATGTACAACTTCGGAAATGAGTGCAGGATCTATTATTTGGTTGTCTCATCGGCTTGGCCCCGTTCTCACCGCTAGATATCTGTCACGAAATTTATTGAGAATGCTCGCCCTATGTTACACGGGAGAAGAGAATTTAACGGCAATCGATAATACCGCGTTGTCCGTGCAAGGTGTTACTTGGAGTAAAAAAGTGTTGGTTGGTGACCGTAACGCTGTGAAAGTATTGGAATCGCTTACAGCCATTGCAGGTTAATATGTTTGCTTGAAACGTTTTCTACATTCTACGTACCTGTGTTACAATGAAAACTCGACACGTTGTAGATTTGTACGGGGAACAGATTATAGTGCTACAATACTTTGCACACATGGTCGAATTAATAGCTCTCTGCAAAAGAAAGTTGACACAGAATTTAGAGGGAGGACTGATTTCGTGCTTGACTCTTCTAAATCATATCACGACGTACCTTAACGATGCAACTTTAATGGATTGCCTTCACGTACGATTCCTCTTTATGTATCTCTTTCACAGCCACGAAGAAACGTACGTTTAGTAAGAAATTCATTTGTTTGTTTGTACAGGAGCCAGTTGTGAAAACGATACTTTATCCCACGGTTCGTATATTGTCGTCTACAAAATTTACTTTCCCTAATGGCATAGTCGCCCGCACCGTGCTGGCAGAGAAATGCCTGGAGATTATATTTATGTTCAGTTTACGGCTCGGAAGTGTTGTCATAAAAAATCATCTGGCAGTTCCTATTCAGCGATTGTTCTTAGCTTTCGAAAAATCTTTCAGTCCGAATGTTACAGGAGGCTCGAAGAATGAAATTAGTCAGAAAACTGTGACCGATCAGATGTCGAGGTAATCGCGTCCGTTCTCTACTGTCGTTATTCGTTTGAATCGCACACGAACACGATAGAAATAATTCTGTATTCGCCAGGACGCAAGGAGCGAACGAGGAGAGCAAAGATACTCGCGGATTCCAATCAAATTTTAATTCGGATGTCGCAGATTCTTATTCTCCGCCGGTTATAGAAAATATGGACATATCGGATTATCAGAAAAATAAAGTATTCTCAAATCCGGATGAAACTTGACGCGTTAATTGTTTCGTACCGAGACGGGTGTTTGTAGCAAACTTTTAATCACTTTCAGGCACTCGAAGAATTGAAAGCAGTATTTACAATAGAATTTGCGCACAAAACCTACACGCTGTTTTATAAGTGTATCGACACCGAAGTGATGGAACAAATACTTAAAAATTATGGACACATACATCATTTGTGCCAAAAATATGAACAAGATACCAAAATGAACACATCCAATACTGGTATGTTGAGCTTGCTTGTTCGCCGAATTTATCTGTAAAAGTAATCGCGTTTCTTCTCCGATTAATACTAATTGTCACACGACAGACAGTATAGGTGGAGTTCATCAAGAAGTTTCGAATTTTGGAAATGTAGCGGTAGTGGGAAATAGATTCGCGATACAAAAGAACAGTGTCGGGGATTTTACAACGACGGAAAATCGAGAACCTAATTCCTCGTATACTGGAAGACAGCTGCGAGGGAATTGGTTGGCGTACTGGGAACATGAAATCGGAAGATCCGATAAAGATGTGACATTTAATATAAAGCAAATAAAACTTCAATCGTTTAGCGGTCATACGAACAGTATTAGATGTTTGTACGTGTTGGATAATGAAAACAGCTTTATAAGTGGTGGACGCGACAAGACTGTAAAGTTATGGAGTTTAAGAAGTCAGGTAATGAATAGCGATATCGCAATTGATTTAGCATCGATACTGACACGTCCAGTTTGATTCGTAGGGTGACGGTAATACTGTTTCGTCTTGCCAGTACACTTATACCGGGCATAAAAAGTCCATTCTCGCTCTTACATTTCTGGAATCGCTAAGATACGTAGTCACTTGCGATGGCACGGTTCACTGTTGGGATCCTTTCATGGGATCTCTTCTCGGATGTCCAGAAAATTCTCGCCCTGTGCCTGTAAACACGTTAATAGCGAGTCCCTCTCCGTCTACGACGTTACTTGCGGGAACAACCGATATTACCCTGAGAGTTATCGATTGCAGAACCTTTCAATATGTCAACGAAATGAAGGTGCGTGTATTATTTGTTCGCAAGTACGTTGTATACGGTCGAAATTGAGAATAAATAGTTTTCACAGGTGTCCGTGAATCCAACAGGTTTGATCAGATGTATCGCGGTAGCGCCTAGCGGTTACTGGGTAGCGTTAGGTCAAGCATCGGGTTTCTTAACAGTTTTAGACACTCGAACCGGTCTTATCATAGCATCTTGGAAAGGACACGAATGCGAAGTGAGTTACTCGAAAGTATCGTTAATTACTTCAATCTGAAACACTCACGCTTAATATTTTCTCTAGATACTACAATTGGAAACGATAAATGAAACCACTATAGTTAGTTCTTCGTTGGATGAGACTATCGCTGTATGGAGCGCAGTGGATGGGAAACTGAAATTCCATATGAAGTGAGTGGTAGTTGGAACCTGTTAATGTCCTGGAAATCTTTTCCATTATTATTGAATTAAATATCATTTTCTAGGGGAGCTACCGAGCCGGTTCATTGCATGTCCACTTACGAACAAGAACTGGTTATAGGAACAACGGCAAATCGTGTGGGAGTATTTACGTCTATCGAGGCGACAACCGCATTTTCATCGTCGAAACTAAAATCCGATACTTTTAAAGGACTTCTCACTACAATGGCGATACTTCCCCTTAATCGGTTGCTGCTATTAGGCGCAGATAATGGCGGTATTACATTAATTTGTTAAATCTTACGTACGAATCATTTAGACAAGTATGTATGTAAATCCAAGTAAAAATTGTACATTTTTATTAACTTCGATTATATAAATGTTCGCTACATAAAAGAATATCTCTTTATATGTAGGCGATATCGGTTCTCGTTCCGAGTACTTTTAAAGCAAGTTTAGGAGACATTTTATGAACGCCGATATCCGCTAGTATCTCTCTTCCCATAGACTCATCGTTGCTGTTTAAAGCTTCGAGTAATAACATTGCTGAACCCAACAGAATGTTTAGTAAAATGCATGCTTCTTTAATTCTAGAAAGTAATTAAAAGCTTCATTCTGTTAATTATTCGAGTGGTTTAGACACTTGGGTGTATGCAATTTTCTTAGAATATAGATTCTTGATATTTTATCGCTATATTATTTTCGTGGAGTTTGCATACGTAGCCGAGTACACAGGTGTATACTTACAGTGGAAAATACGATTCTGGCTTATTGATGTATAAGCCGAATAATGGAAACAAATTCCTAAAAATGTCATATTCTACTTGCTCCGCACCGCCTCTATTGAAATGATTTACCAAAATAACTTCTTCTAAAAGGAACTGTAAGAGATACGATACTTTCTAGATTAATGCTGTACGCAATGTTGATTACACGTTTCAAATGTTGTCTTACTTGATCGAGTTGTAAGGCCAAGTTTTTCCAAGCCTGATTGAATAGGGGTAACGCGAGTGTGTTGTACAACTGATTAAGTTGGGTCGCCAATTCTTGAAACATAGAGTATCCACTCGGAGTAACTGACAAAGAAACAACTTCCTTGGCGGACTGCATGGCGAACCATCTACGTACGTAATATTTTGGAATACATAAACTAAAGTTTTTGCTAAATTCGAATCTATTATTCGAATTTTAATGGGAACATCGTCACTTACTTGTCCGTTCTATACGGTCTGCTTCTCGCTTTAACGTCTAAGGCTACAGCATCGCTAATTTCATTTATCAATTCCTTTTCTAACCTTCTGACGAGAGCAACTGCTTCATCGAACACAGAGCCTTCCACTTCGTCCATAGTTTCGTTAATATCACTTCCTTCCGATGTCGCTGATTCGACCGCCTCAAATTGTTTTTTAAAGAAATACAGTTGCAAGAAATGCTGCAAACACAGATAAATTAGTAATGCGGCAATTTGATTGATAATTTGATTATTTCTCAAATATTTACCACTGTAACACCCCATTCCTCTAAAACGGTCGCAACGTAATGTAAAGTATTGAGAATCCACGGCATAAGGGATGTTAAAGGGTCTTCGTTGGTTTCGTGTAATAACTGAAGTAGCCTTATTCTCCAATCGTCGATCAATTCTAATTGCAGTTCAAGAAACTGTAATCTGAATAATAACGTAAACGGTGAAATCACTGGAATTATCAATACCTTTAATAACATTACATTACATATATAATTTACACACCTATGACCTGGTTGCGGCAAGTGTTTGTATCTATCGGATATCGTTGTAAGAAGCGTAAGGAAAGCATCCGCGCATTCGGTTACTTTCATATCATCGGTATCAGAACTGGATAATTTTTCCCAAGCAGTACTTGAACTTAAAATTGCATCCATTTTCTCGGTAGCATCTGACATTTTAGGACACCGATGTTGATAGCGATTAAACGGTAGACAATAAATAGTAACAAATATTTTGTGTTCTTACATTTCTTTTCCATGTTAATCCACTTTACGAAAACATGGGCTTGGGTAAGGACGAAAACGGTGGCTGGTTGCGTTGGGGGATAGAATAATGTTTCTCTCAATTCTCTTTCGAAACCTAAAGCTTCGTCCACCAAATGAGCGAATAAGGCATCATCGTACTGCACTATTGATAATTCCGAATGAAGTTTTTCAACAGCCAATTGTACCAAACTTTGCATGAATTCTACCTGCGTGTATGTATAATTTATAAAGTTTTATATATATAAAGTTTTCACTAAAATTATTTATATTTTTATAGTACCTTCATGTCTATGTGACTGAAACCTATTGAATTTGCTACTGGTTGAACGTTTTTTTGTATCCACTGAACATGATGTTTAATCCATGTTAATATTTGAGTAAAAAACCATTCTGGTTTATCTTGTCGGTTTGTTAATTTAGTACCTGTGAAGTGATATATAAACCTTTGTCTCAGAGGCCGTACCAGTAGCGAAATTGGCAAACTCACTGGTGCAAAATCTGTTAACAGCACTGAAGTGACCACTGGTTTAATAGATTCTTTTCTGCGACAGTCTATTAAGGAGTAACTATGTGTTTTGATGTAATATAAAAAGTATCGATAAAGCGGAAACAATCTTTTGAATTAAAAAGGATACGGTAATTGTAAATGTAATAAATATTCGGTAAGTATTTTAAATTTAGTTAAAGTGTCTGTCATAGATGTGTTTAAAGAATTTGAATTATTCCCACAAAATGGCCATTTTAATGCTTTTAATACATCATTGTATTCTCTGAAAAATAAAAGAAATATTAAACCTTCATTTTTTAAACTGTACATAGTATGAAGGATCTCATAAAAATGTATTGAAAATATCCATTTTGGTGTCGCATAAATACGTAATATATATTTCTAAGTAAAATACCGTTTCATGGATTATTTCTTAATGTATTTTCATATTTTCAGAGTATTGAAATTATTCTGGAAAAATGATTTTATATAGATGTGTACGCACGCGCGCGCGCATATATACATACATATATACATATATAAATATAAAAAATGTAGAGAATAAGAGAATATACTTGGATAATTTATCCTTTATGAGGTTGTGCCAAAAGTGAAGTGTTTCCCTTACATAACTCACAAGGTGATGACAGGCAGATAATTGCAATTGACTACTAATATCTGTAAAATTAGTATACAATGACACGGTTGATTCATCATCGCCAGCTGCTAATGCTATTTGAATCTTTTCGCTGAAAGCAAAATCTCTGTTAATTACATAGAATCATGAAACATAAGAAATGTCAATGTCAACGTCAATGTACGAATCAATCAATAACCGAAAATATGAAATAAATTTATTTGACCTACACACTGATGTAGAATGTAGATGATGAAATAATAAATAATTTCCAAAGTATCGCGTTTTAGGAATGCCCAAATTATAGACCAATTATCATTCAAACTCAAGGGAATTGATCGAATCGTTAGTTGTAAGACACTGCTTATTAAATAAAAGTCTACCTAATGCTTTCAACGTGTTTTATGAAATTTAGATACGCCAATGTCTTATCCAAATGACTTATCGTGTTAATAATTCTTTGCATGTCTATACTTTTATCAGTTTCATGCAGTGCTTTCTGTATATCATTTCTAAACTGTGCAGAAGATTCTTCTAACTGCTGAAACGTGGTATCTATTTTCTCAACGCTTTCTATCACCACTTTCACTTTTGAAGGAGCTTCGGAGGATGCCATTGATAACTGTAAAGTTCAAAGCCGTTGGGAATGTTTAAAGTTAAATGAATACTGCATATTCATATATAAGTATTACCGATTTTTCGATTTCATCTTTCTGTAGATTAAGACCTTGATGAAATTCATATATTTTTTCGAACCCTTTCAGATCGGAACCCAGTTCGGCATTGAATTTTTGTATTATCTTTTTCTTTACGTCAATCATAGTGAAGCGTTACACTGTAAATATCTAAAGTGCAAAATAAATTTGATAGAACGAGTTTGAGGTTACGTTACATCCTATCAATTATTGAATTACCGTAAGTACATTGAGTAATTTTACATAAGACAATGGGTTTGAAAAGCAAAGAGGATTCTATGGATTCCAAAAGCACCTGCCTTGCAAATATTGTCATATGTTTTTCCTCCTAAAACAGAACAATCCATAAATGCACGCTAATAGAGCACAAACGAACGACAACAAGCAAGCATCTTGACAACTGACAT